TAGGGTGAACAAGAATAAAAGGAAGGTTATTGGGTTAAGTGCTGCAGTGTGTTTAGTAAGCAACAGAAGAAACCTAAACCACTCTTCCCTCTGACCCAGAATTCCCAGTCCAATGCCAGCGTGGTGACTGTGATATTCAATTATGTATTTATTTTTTTACTGTTTAAGTTTTTCTGTTTATTTGTGTGCTGAACCATTGGAATAAAACCTGTAGCCTCCTCAACCTTTGGTTAATCATTATAGGTTATGGATCAGTCTGGTATCTAAGTAATATTAAGAAAGGTTACTAACAACTGTAGGCCATTTGACCCATCTGACCCATTTGGCAGTAAGTAGCTAATTGTTCCAAGGATCCCATCCAGCTGTTCCTCTAATTTAACCAAAACATCAGATGCACCACAAGGCTTGGTAGCTTGTTCCACACTCCCATAACCATTTGAGTAAAAAAATGCATCCTATGTTTTGTTTTAAATGCATTTTTGACTTCACATAGTTTCCACTTTAAAATTGTACACTATTATGAGGCCTAACTAGTGTATTGTACAAATCCAGCCTAATATCCCTTGATGTGAATGATGCATTTTTGACTGTATAACCTAACATTGATGGTCTTATACCTTATTGTCTTTTCTTTTGTTTCTTATTGCTTCTCCACATTGTCTGAAAGATGAAAGTGATAGGTCAACATAAACACAATCCCCATAAATTATTTTATAATTTCTTACACAGCATACACTGTTAAAATCTGTCACGCCCTCTGCAGCCAGAGGGCGCTCCTTCTCTGTCCTGTCCCTGGTTTCCGGTCTGCTGTCCTTCCGGTTCCTCTCTTTCCCTTGGGCTTTATATTTCCGGGTCTTGCACTCTGTCCTCGCTCAGTATTGATGTTCGGATGTCCTGAGACCCGCGTAGCACCAGGGCACCCCACGTCCGCTCCCTGAGGGCATAGGTTTCTATACGGCATTCCTGAACTCATTGCACTAATGAGCCCGGGCCTTTTTCCCGTCTCGCTGCTACGCATATGGGTCTTTTTCCGCTCTCCTGCTCCCCACGTCCCTTTGGACGTCCGTGACAAAATCTATGAACAGGGAAAGTAATTGCAAATAATTCTCTCTGTCTGGAGAATTAGTGACTACAATGTGGCCACTAAATGCCTTGCTTGGAAAGATAAATAGCCCTATCGATCATATGCTTCAGAATATCATTCTAAAAGGGTTCATAGCTTGCTGCTAATGCTGGAGCCTCAGGCCTCTGCCCAATTGCACTCTGGGGATGTTCAAATATTTTAAGAGCTACATTTGACAGCTGTGCCACCACTTTCTTGCCTGATCAGAAGCTGAGCAGGGCTGGGCTTGCCATTCCGGGGATGGGAGAGACCCATTTCTGGGAAGGAAAACATGGGTTATGCTTTAGGTTGTACTAGTGGACCAGTAGGTGGCACTCTTTCCTTTGACCCAGAATTTCCAAACCAATGCCAGCATGATGACTGAGATATTAATTTGACTTTTTTTATCTGCTGCTGCTCAATATCTGACACATGTCAACCGGATGGGTGCTGTACTTCAGTGGTGAATTAAGTGTGTCCCTTTCTACTTGTAAATCACTTTTAAATACTTTCGGATGGAATGATCTATACAAATGCAGGCCTTATAATTATCCTTCTTATTTGTTCACAGGTGACTGAGAAAATTATTGGTTTTGTGATGTTGTTTAGTTGATGTAGTTCCCTGTTTCCTTTTTTGGACTGAAAATAACATTTCGGCAACACCATGTGTAGAATAGCAGCTGCCAGAAAATCATGGATAGTCGTGACAGTCTGGACATCTTGATAGTCGTGGTTTTCTGTTAAAAACTTCGCAAGCACACATCTTCTTCTCCTGCTCTCAGCTCTATTGATGATGTTGACCTCCCTTGCTCTACAATCATCACTTGTGCAAGAAAGAATCTAGGAACAGATTGGTCACTAGGTTGAGTATTACAGTACATCTATCGAGTCTTATGACATCTTAAAAGAACATGTGAGAAAACCTTTTTTCAAAGTCGAACACATATGGAAGCCCGTTTCCGCCAGGGAGTAAAAAGAAATCGCTCTATGGTATCTCAGAATTCCGACTTAGTTACTCAGAATTCCTACTTTATATCTCGTAATTGCGACTTTATATCTCACATTTGCGACTTCGATATAGCCCACATTTCATTGTCTGTCCTTTTGTTATTGTAACGGATTCGGGTTCTAGGGCTTGTGCGCTCGACGCTCCCACCGTAGTTCGTGCTTCACTGCATTGGCTCGAACCCAGGTCTTACTAGCTGAGATAATGAAGACCTTCTTTTTTAAGTAAAAAAGGACATACAATGGAAATATGTAAAAAGTATAAGTTTCAGCTTTTATAATTGTGAATTCCTCTGGATGTGAAGTGTCTATTTCTGTATCTTATTTCATATTCTGTCCCCGTTTTTATATTTCTGGTGTTTAAAAACTTTTTTAAAAAGCCCACCGTCCACTATCCCATCCGGGTACTATGGAAGCCTCACTGGCGGAAATTGGATTCTATAAAAATTAGTGTAATTAGTTTGATTTTTATCAGGGCACCGCCCTCCCCTGCGCATAACAGGGATCCTGGCCGCCGGGGTTAAAGGAAGTGTTCTTTAGCTCTGCTGGCAAGACCTGGGTTCGAGCCAATGCAGTGAGGCACGTAGGGTAGGGTAGGGGAGGGCACAAGCTCTAGAACCCGAATCCGTTACAATAAAAAGAGGACAGACAATGAAACATGTGCTTCCATAGTACCCGGATGGAATAGTGCACGGTGGGCTTTTTAAAAAAAAGTTTTTTATTTAAACACCAGAAATACAAAAACGGAGACAGAATATGAAATAAGATGCAGAAATAGACACTCGCCAGGGAGTAAAAAAAAACGCGCTATGGTATCTCGCAATTGCGACTTTATATCTCAGAATTACGACTTTGTATCTCGCAATTGCGAATTTATCTCTCACAACTGTGACTTCATATCATTTACGACTTAAAAACTCAGAATTGTGACTTAAAAACTCAGAATTACGATTTTATATCTCTCATTTGCGACTTCGAAATAGCCCACAATTCATTGTCTGTCCTCTTGTTATTGTAACGGACTCGGGTTCTAGGGCTTGTGCCCTCTCCGCTCCCACCGTAGTTTGTACCTCACTGCATTGGCTCGAACCAACAAGCTATAATCTGTGAGGCAGTTGCACTAACTCCAGCCTAAAATATAAATTAATCTTATGTCTATTTAAAAAGTGGACATAAACATAAATTACATTATAACGCTTCTATAATGAAAAAGGAAAACACGAAGTGCACCAATATTGCTTTGAGATATATTATGTTGATTTTCAGTTGAAAAATATATCTAAAACCTTTTTACAATGTCACCAGAAACAATGAGCATTAAACTGTTCTGGATGAATGATTCAAGGTGCCCCTGACAGTTTCCTACCTTGCTAGCATTTGTAAAAAAAAACATGTGAATCATTAAATATGGTTTCTGCATATTAAACTACAGGTACAAATGTGTTCTATTTTAAATGCAGAACAGGACTGTGAGACTGGATATTATTAAGCACTCTATAAAACCATTTCTAATATTACTAAACCTATAACATTTACTAAGACATATGCTAAGAAACTACTGTAAGGTTCTTGTGTGTTTGGTTTAATGTCGGGTACAATAATAACCAATCATGAAGTTTTGGGTATGACAATGTGAAATTAGTTTTATGTGTAATTATTTTTATGATATAATTTAAAGAAACATCGTTTGTGTGTAATATTAGCTCAGTATGAAACCGGTTGATAAGCTGAATGATGAGGAAAGCAATGGCAGTGATGTTTTTTGTTACAGAATTTTGATATTTGACTTGTGTCCCTCAATCAGTTTTTTGTGTCCCTCAAACATTTTTTTTGTTGCGGTACAGAATGGACGAAATGGAAATTTGGACGTGCAGGAATGAAACCTAGTACAGTATTGTGTGGGAGGTCGTTACTTCAAAGTACTAACGGGGGAGCCGGTACAAATTCCTATGCAAGGAATAGGACACATTAGCCTAGCAGTTAGCCTAGCAGACTGCGTTTCGTATTAACTTAAAACGGAAAGACCTCTATACTTCAGGTGTTTAGCTTATTAAGTATAATCCAATACGTCAACATTATTGTACAATTCCTTTTGTTTTATACAGTAGATGCGATCCACAAATAAGACATTGGTAATTTATTTCACAGTTTATGTTGAGATTTAAAAAAAACAATACACCGGTCGGCGTCAATCCTGAAATTCATACTGTATAGTGGTTACTAATGCAACCTTTTCATTCTTCATTAAAAACAAAATTATTCGCAAAGCTCGTGTAACGCACTGTAAATAAGATTAAAAGTAACCTAAAAAATCCAGTTACCTCCGTCCCTGCACCAACTTCACCAGCCATAAGATTAGAATCCTCACCTGCATCTTCTGTAATTGTCAAAGGCAAACCGATCTCTTGCTCTTTAAGAACTTCTAACACTTTATCCAGTGTCTGAGGACTGAGACTCAACAGGAGCTATAGGAAACAGCGACAACTCAGGTGAACTGTTTTGTCTGACGTACAGTATGATTTGTGTGCAATAATACCGCTATGCATCTTTACATTTTAGGTGAAAAACGGAAAATATCACATATCTATACCAGTCATTGGTGACATACGGGTGACCCTGTAAGGTACAGCATAACTAAAATCTTGCAGCGTTCAATTTAGTTCGAAAAGGAGATATCCTAAATTCTGAACGATTCGTTACACTTTTCCAAGCGTAAAAAATGAAGATGTGCAGGCATTCAAATTAATATGATTTGTTTTAATGATAGCTCTGTTCTTTTAAATCATATTCTCAAAACAAGCGCAGCACATGGATGAAGTCTGGTCCCCGTTTTACGATCCTGTCTTTCTTTTTGCTGTTAAGTCCCGCCTTCACCACGAATTTAGCATAAATAGCACTTTTGCAATATGCTTATCTAACTAGCAGCATCTGAATCAAACAGACCTAGCGGGCTTAATCTAGGGAGAGTAAACGGCGAAGAAACTCCACTCCAAGTGCAAATTATTTATTCATTTAATTTAGAGATTTTAGCTGAAGAAAAGCTTAAAACTTGAACTTGGCAAACTAATGAAAGGCATAAACCAGTGAAATAAAGAATGTGGGACCGAAGAGAGTAAAAGCAAAGTCATTTTGTGCTGTGGATTTGAAAGGCAGTTTAACATGCAGTGTAGCAAGTGGAATGTTTTTTTGGTGATACTTGTATTTGTGGTGCTAGCCATCCGTGGCTGTGGTGCACTAGTGGACAGGTCAAGACTGGAAGCCAGGGGAGTGAACCATAGCTCCGATGGACATCGCACATACCATGAGCCTGTGCTTTCTGGCTCCAATGCCAATGACACTGGAGCAGCCAGGCATTCTGCTGCAGGTTTCCAGATTGTATCCTTCAAGTGGGATCATATTATGGTTCCCTACACCATTGTTCTCTGGATTCTGGTGGCTGCTATTGCCAAAATGGGTACGTAATGTTGATTTTTACAATGAGGTGAGATTTTTAAAAACCTTTTTATGCTGTTTTATTTATAGTATATTCATTTTGTTATTAACCATTCCCCCCATAGAAAGAATGTTGCTATATTTAAATATTTTCAACTCATGCAATACCTGATATGGAGATCTTTGAAATTAGCTCATTTCTAAAATGCTTGTGCATTTATACTTTATGTCTACACTTGCAGTTTTTTTGAGCGGTACAACTGCAATGTAAGAAAACGCTCTAAATGCAAGGAAGGCAAGGGAGTTAAGATACAGCCAACAAAAGCTGTTGAGGCCTTTAGTTTTGTCCTCATCAAGGAGGAGCCAAAGGTTTCTCTAATGGGGACTGTGAGTGAGGATGCCACCTACAGTATGTAAAGAAACATTCTCTTGATGCAACCAGCACTCCAAGAAGGTGGAAAGTCTTTATCCCATCAGAGAGACAATCAGGAGCAGTGTTGTGGGATTCAGGATGTGCTGCATTTGTATGCCTGCAATTGACTGCTATGTACTGTAACCAGTTTGGATAAACCATGTGTGCTGGAGTGCTTTCATTGCCTGGTATCATAACACCCATTTTTGCAAAAACATACTATACATCCTGTTCTAAGTTGTCAATGCACTTCTTCCAGTTCTGATGAAGTCCCCTGGTTTGATTTTGTTCAACCCTTTGAGGATTTTGAATATTGAATCAGGCCCTTCTGTTGGTTTCTCCATTCAGGACTGAAAACATTCGATTGTATTAGCCTGTATGAGTAATGCATTTATAACCAGGGATTTTCCAGGTTACTCTTTTTATAAGTTGATTCCAGAGCAACAATATTTCATTTGTCATGTGGTGATTAAAATGATACAAAGTGTTCTAAACGATGTCTTACTAATGTATTGTACATTTTTAACAAACATTCCTTGATTTAAATTCGATTAAACAAAATTTGCACTGAAATTTGAGAAACGAATGTGAGAACTAAAAACAGGTGTCCACAAGCATAAAAGTTTCCAGCTCTGCTAACTGAAGGTTCTAGGAGCAGGTTAGAATGAAATTATTTACTTGCTGCAGTATATAAAGTAAGAGAAGTGATCTTAGGTACAGGTCTATTATTAAACCTATTAAAACTATTAATCCTATTTTAGATCTTTAGGCTTCAGATCTAAATTCAACATACTGTATAGATTTGTTTTCAAAGTTACTTTGAAAGGACATCTCCATATTGTATGTAAAGGAAGTACTGTAGCAATGAAAAATAATAATAAGAAATACAGATCAGTCCTTAAATATATAAAAATACTTTATCCATTAATCATTTAACCATACCAAGAAGCAAGTCCATAACTTAGACTTGTGTGATTATAACTGGTTGATGCACAAGGTCCAATTCCTGGATCTAAAGGAGCAATCGAAACTTCAGTTAAACAATTAACTTAACTGTAGCATGCACGGAAGACATTTTCTAAATATAAACGACAAAAATCTGAGTAGTGGTACGTTTGAAGCATCATAAAACAATATCTGCTGCTCAATGTCAATTTTGCCTGTTTTTTCAAATCCACTGTTTCCCGTCCAACTACAACACTGTATATCTAGACGTGATAGTTAGCTTCGATGTGCTGTTATTAATTGTCCTGTTCTTAATGGAGTGACGTCCCACCAGGGAGGAGAGTAATTTTAATTTTGGTTCCACAGTACTAGAGTTTTCAGGACAGAGTCCAGCTTGCAAAGAACCTCTTTAACACAATGGGTTGTTCTGAAAATAATAGAAACATTGTAAGCTTGTAACATAATTTACTTTTTTACACATTAAACCTATTTTTGAACTTATTGATTTACACTTGTGTGACACAGTGGCACAGTGGTTAGCCTTGCTGCCTCACAGCCCTGGGAACCAGGGTGTAACTCCTGGGGTGCTATCTGAGTGCAGTTTGTATGTTCACCCCATGTTCACAGGGTTTCCTCCCACAGTCTAAAGACATACGGGGTAGGTTAATTCGCTTCTGGGAAAATGAGCCCTAGTTCGAGTGGGTGTTTGAGTCTGTGTGTACACTGTGTTGGACTGGTGTTATCTGCCTGGCACCTGTTGCTTCCCAGCCACCCTGTACTGGATAAAGCTGTTAGAGAATGAACGGAGGGATGGACAAATTCCAATTTAAATAAGTCAAAGTTAGACTTGTGTGTTGAACTGTGATTGATAATTTATACCATAAATGGCCTCCTTTTGCTTGTAACCTTTTTTATTTCCAAATTAATGCAGCTGCATGATACCAGAAGGAACTCACAGTGTGTTGAGCAAAACATTTGATTGTTGACTTATTTGCTTATATAGTGGCTGAAGACTAACCTGAAGTTGGAATGGTCATTTGAGATATGTAAATGGAAAACTACTAAAAAGTAATATCCATCAGTCCAAGTGCATTCCTTGTAACTTTTCATGCAGGATTCTGGTTGATGAGGTGGAACTTTTGCCTCTAGATCATAGTGTCCTATACCTTAGTTTGGTGACAGGTGCCATCTTTGTATTGAGATGTGGAACTGAAGTCCTGTTTATTTGGTCATTTAAAAAATCCAGTTAGAGCTTCTACAGTATATGTTCAGGATTGTTCATTAGAGCTTCTACTGTATATGTAAAGCATTTTAGGTTACTTTGAGAAAAAAAGGCACTATGGAAAAATAAAGAATTACAGTAGTATTATTATTGAGTAGCACCATAATTCCAGCACGGAACCCATATCACAGGCTAGGAAACAGTTCCCTTTAATAGCTGGACATATGAGAGCAATCCAGTGCATAAAAGACTGAGCGCTGAAGTACAAATTTCTGCAAGACAGGAGAAATGACCAGAACACAAACTTCATGGGACTCACTGCTGGCTTTGTTAATTTAGTTGTAACTACTTTTGTTACAAGACATTAACTTTTACTTGAGGCCTAGCACCTGTTATTGCTGGGCATGAGTTTTGGAACCAGAGAAGGAATTCACATTAGTATTAATGAGTGTACTTTTGTCATAGTTGTAGAAGTTTCTTTTCTTCTCTTTTCAGCATGTTTGTCTTTGCCGGTAGAGCAGAAGAGCCGAGTCATGTAGTTCAGCATCTCTTTGTGTCATTTTTTTGCAATCTAAGTGGCAGGTACACAGCTGGGCTTTCATGAAGAATAGACCACACTCCTAGCAGATGGCAAACTGTCCTATCTGCCTTCAGACTAAGAAGAAATTCATATAAAGAGATGGTCATAAAATGTAAATGGACAATACTGTTTCCTGTTCATGTGGGCAATATTGTAGAACCATTTATTTGCTTTTAATGTGAAGTATTTAATCCCTGATTACCTGAAATAAATTCTTCTTGATATTCATGATACAGTATGTCAATTAATGCTACTGTCCCTGTGAATGAGGTCAAGATCCCGAAGCGTCGCCTGCAATTGTACCATGTATACCACGTATAGAGCATGTGGCATCACAGAATTAAAAAAAAAGCAGAAATTTTGCCTCTGGCCTCAGAGGCTGCAACTCACCACAGCTGCAACTCAATGCAACATTCTTGCAGCAGCAGTTTTGGCATTTGAACATTTCCTGAAGATGCTATATACTGTTAAATCCTGCTGTTAATCTCTGGTTTAGCATATCAGCTATTTCCAATCTTTGTGTTATTATACTGTACTTACATTTGATAATGTAGAACTGTTTTTGTTTTCTATGTCAGTTTGCAAAGGAAAGACTTTTTACAATTTTAGCCCACTCTATAAAAAGCTAGAAATTGCAAGTTTCGCATTCAACCAAAACTTCCTTCCTGCAGTCAAGATTGGTAAAGTGTTGTTAGTCTCAGATTTAATCATTTCCTTTCGAGAATAAGCAAAACGTGCAATAAGGGTGGAAAATACAAAGTGTCTGCATAAGAGCTAACACAGAAAAAGTTAACAAACTTGCCAGTTAATTATACTCCTGGCTGAAGACTGCCGCTGAAACTGGACACTTCCCGTCCTGAAAACAGTTGATCATTTACTCATTTCATAGCATTGTACGCTGCCACAGCAAATACTGACCCTGTCAGATGTTCCTTTTAGCAGCATTTTCTTTTTGCTGCAGAGCAGAATTTGCTCAAAACGTTTATAGAAGTAGAGGAAGCCAATCATGTTGGTTATAAAATAGAATAAAAAAATAAAAGATTTTTTTTCCAATACAGGAGATTGGCAGGCTGACATATTGGAATAGATACAGTAGGTTAAACAGATGCAAATACTGTGTCGACGCTTGGTAGGGCTCAGCTATGGGCAAACATAAACTATAAGACTATGGTACTCAAATGAAAGACATTTGATCAAATCTAGCGTTGTAATTTTAGAAGGGGTCTTAGAAGGGGCTGTGGGATTGGAGGTGAATTTTAGACTTTTATCTAAAATGTCCCACTCTTGATGGTCCCAGCTCCAGTTCGATCTGGATCCTTCCTGCCTTTCATCTTTCTGCTCAACCGGCAGAGAAATTTAAACGTGTGAAACTAGCGCCCCTGACAGCAGCTGATTTTAAGATCTCGGCTTGATTTTAAAGTCTAAAATTATAGTCTCACCACGAGACTATACGAGAAATAGTAGTCTGCCGTACCATCTCGCCGGAATAGACAATCTCTGATCTCCTTTAACCTCTTTTATAGAGAGAAAACAGCCCGCAGCCACCTGGAGCCATTTTCTCTAATAACACATGGAAACACGCTACAAAACTTTATTGCGTTCTCTTGGTCTCTGGTGTGTCCCTTCGTCGCCCTCTAGCGGTTTTATCCGGTATTCATTTATTCTTCCATATTCTAGCCATTTTATGCAATACAGAATTGCGTTGGTGGTGGGGTCTATCCCCCTATTCCCCTAACCGGACAGCAACAGACACTAGAAGAATACACCTTGGATAGGACTCCAGTCCATCCAAGGCCACACACAGACACAAACATTCACACACTTACATCTGCGCTAGTTTTCCCAGAAGCCAATTAACCTACTAGTATGTCTTCGGACTATGGGAGGAAATCAGAGTACCTGGAGGAAAGCCACGTGAACACAGGGTGAATATACAAACTCCATGCAGATAACATTGGACTGCACCAGACCCCAACACTGTGAGACATCATTGCTGAAATAGGACTATGGGGAAACTGCAGAGAGCACTGAGATCAGAGGTGACTTCTTTAGACAAAGAGTTGTGGGAGTCTGGAAAAAGCTACTCCATTATTAAATGTCCATATTCCAGTCTCTCATTATTTATATTGCTTGCTTTTTTAAGAATGAAGAACACATTAAAAAAGCATTGGAAAACTGAACTTTTCATGACATGGAAAAACATAAGATTAAGCAGCTTTTTCTAGTGTTAGAAGTGATGACAGAACAGTTACACAGACATGCAGGAAACAGGGATTCCAGTGAAAGTAAAGCAAGTATTTCTTCAAGTTTATCACATTGATTAATGATTAATCACAAAGAGAAGAGGTTGCAGTGCAGAACTAATAACCCAGCAGAACAAATAGAAAAGGCAATGTGAGAAAATGGTTAGTGGTTTGTCTGTGTTGTATAATTTAGAGAATTGTGGCAGATTTTTACCAGAGTTCACGGTGGTATGCACTGTAGACAGGCTTTGAACTGTTGATTCTTTATTCCTGATCACTCCACCTTAAAATGTTTTTAACAGCAACAGCAAAATAAACTTTTAGATTTTAGTAGGTTTCTTGTAGTAATATCTTTGAAATGTGATAATCCCAGAATAAACTGTAAATAAGCACAAGTGATCACCTTCATTTGTTCCATAAGGTCTAGTTACTACAATCAAACTAATGTAGGATCTAATGTCTTTAATCTACTGGTGGACTATGCGTCCTTCACACTTGGGTTAACTTTATTACAGTGTGAGAGGATATGACAGAGACAAATGCGTCACTACCATTCATTTTAAATGCTGCTTAAACAGCTAATGTCATAATCCACTCTTGGCTTACTTAAGAATATTAGAAAGGTCGAGGTAGGTGTTTTGACTGTCTTTTTCACTTAGCTTTTTGTAGCCACTTGATTGAAATGTCTCATTCAGCAGTTTCTTGAAAAAAGGCAAGATATCAACTTAAACTTCAGCTTTTACGTGCATCTCCCTTTATTTTTCACTTCTATCCTCATTCTTGTGGTTCAGGTTTTAACAAAGTCCAATAGATGGATTAAATGCTTGAATCAGGTTCCCTTTTAAGGCATTCTGTGGCATTTCTAACTCACTATTATATATTGCACATATACACTATATGTAAAAACATGTTTTTAAAAAATTCTGTTGAATTCAATTCCGCTCATCTGTTGTCTCATTAAACAACAGATATGAAAGCACTCTTACTGATGAAAGTGTTGGACCATGATGTTTTTTCCAGAATACAGCCTGGTCTTAACAGCGATCCAACTAGATAAATGGAAGAGGAAGGGGACACAAATTGTTCAGTTCTTAGTGGTGTATCTAGGTCAGGGTGTCTTTACTAAGGGCAGTAAATACTGGATACTGTTAGTTTGGGATGTCAGTTCATTTCAGCCAATGAGTACAAAAAAGCCATGTGGTGTCATTGTCATTAATATACATTTCTTGTCTCTCTCATCCCTTTCAGTTTTAGGATTGAACCACAAAGTGACCAGCATCATCCCAGAGAGTGCCTTGTTGATTCTAATTGGTTTTGTCCTGGGTGGCATTATATGGGCAGCAGACAAAGCTCAAACCTTTACCCTGACTCCTATAGTCTTTTTCTTCTACCTCCTACCCCAAATTATTCTTGATGCTGGGTACTTCATGCCCAACAAGCTGTTCTTTGGAAATCTCGGTGCCATCCTTGTGTTTGCCATCATTGGCACCTGCTGGAACGCTGCCACACTTGGTTTATCACTGTGGGGCATTTACCTGGGTGGTATAATAGGTAAGTTTGTGTTCCTTGATGTATTTTCTCTCTGCCTGAGCCAGAGGCACAAGAAAAATTCGTATCAGAGTTTAACAAATTGTGGTCTAGAAAATGTTAGCCTCAATAGTTTAGTAGGACACTGAAGAAGATCATAAAGAGAACAGGGATTATTTACACGGTAGAGAATGCAAACGGGAGCAGGATAAGGTAAAACACAGATAACGCTGAGCTGTCAGTGCAAGTTGACAAAGACATGAGATAGGAAGAAATATAGCTATGTGGGTCAAACCTATAGTCATTAGTTTAGTTATTACAGTATTGTAATAATAACAAGATTAGTAAGGAATAAAGCAAAGTGTCTATTATAGACACAAATGGATCTATTATAAAAGAATATGGAATTACTGTAAGTCTTCAGTGATTAGGAGGGGGGGTTTAGTTATTGTTTCAAACAGTGAAGCAAACAAGCACTTAAATGATAGGAAACAAACCAGTCCAAAAAGTCATAACTTTAAGGTGTTTAACAAAATAAGAAGTGAGCATTTTCAACAGCAATGAATTGCAAAATCCCAAAGTGAAACACCTCTAGTGAAATCTTACAGCTATGCTGATCAAATACTTGTTTGACTTACTTTTAGAAGTAAAGATTTTTAAGGATTTGTCTAACCTCCAGCTTTAGTTCTTGGGATTTACAAAAGACTGAGACTTTGTATCAAAGCAGCCAATAGGCTGGGAAGGGGTGTGATGCCCTAATTTCCTGTGGCATACTGTAGGGCTGGCACCCCCTCTTCCTCCTTCAAGAGCAGACCCTTAGTAAGATTAGGTGGAAGTAACATCCACAAATAATCAAAAATACAAGATACTACTTATTATTTAAACAGGTATTGTGTTTTTACCTTTCTATATTAAGAACCCATTAATTGTTATCACACAAATCAAAGAGTTCAACTTAAAATATCTAATTTAATTTTACTGCTATCATACTGTTTTCATACTACATGCACTATGAAGCTCTTTAAACTATGCAACAAATGTCAAAAATATTTACATTGTTCTCAGGTGTCAACTTCAATATCAGTGTGCTGGAGTTTCTCCTCTTTGGAAGCTTGATTTCCGCAGTGGACCCTGTGGCTGTAATAGCTGTCTTTGAAGAAGTTCATGTCAATGAAGTTTTATTCATTCTTGTCTTTGGGGAATCTCTTCTGAATGATGGTGTCACAGTGGTAAGACCTCCTGTCTGATTTCTAGAAGCCAGTACCATCTCAAGCTTTCACTATGGTGAATGTATTGCTAAAAGTTAGCCATAGATTCCAATGGTTCAACATGTCTTTAGATTGGACTATGAGTAAACCATGGAACAGTATACTGTATACTCAACAGACCTGAGAAGTGCTGAGGTCTTAGATTTTTTGTTCTACATATACTATTGGCAAGGTTTGTGGAGTTTGGAATGAGTGAGTTTACAGTATAAATTATACAGGAATACAACTTTGACGATTGTAAATATACAGTAGACAATGGTTGTGGAATATCACATTCACTGACTTTTAAACTAGAGAAGTGCAGTCAGAAAACTGTGACCAAAAGCAGCAAAGACCTGAAGTATACCAACTGGAAATGATTTGTTATTGAAGTTGTAGCAGGAAATGTACTTTGCAATACTCCAAGTTACAGTGTTTTCCTGACAAGAGACTTCTCATTGCATTTTCCAAGTACAATCACTGTTTCACTCAGACTCAGGTACTACAGATAGTAAAGACATCCCTGTCATGCAATGACTTTTCCATTATTTTCTGTTACACAATTTTGCTAATGCCAGTGCCTTGCAAAAGTACTCAACCCCAAATATTGCCGACATTAAGCCTCTTTCAGCCTTAAAAGGGTAAATTTAGAATAATTAAAAAAAACATTCAAAAGATGTTAATCCATCATTTGCAATTCAGCAAAACAGGACATCACTCAGACTGTGTGATTACTTTTGCAAAAATTGTAATTGATCAGTAGAGGGATCGATACAGCAGTTTAAGAGGTGTACTTGCATTGACGTCATCAGTGATGTCTGCAGTGATGTCATTGAGAGACACACTGCTCCTCCAGTAGGTTTTAACTCTCCTGTTAGCAGCTGTTGAGATGATTCATGAATTTGTCACATGGCTGTATTGGTCCTCTACTACAGTAGTTATAACAATAAGCCAAGTAAATTAACAGCTGATGATTCCCAGTCCCATGGGTATTCAAATGGAAAACAATTGCCGATTCTAGGTTTTAAATTTTTTTATTTTCCATTCGCATAACAGTTACCTCTCTCTTGAAATGACTGTTTTTTATAATTTGTTCTACTTTATTCTTCAGGTGCTGTATAATGTATTTGACTCTTTTGTAACGATAGGAGGAGGAAATATTAATGCTGTGGAAATTGTCAAAGGAGTAGGTGAGAGACAATTTATGAACACTGTACTTCCTATGCTCTGTTTTGTTGAAAATAAAAAAAATGTTTTCTTGTTTTATTATATTTGTAGATATGTACTGTATTTTATGTGCATGAATAATAAAATTAAAATTTTACCAAGAATCCAACAAAAAACCCTGACTGTATATTGAAGCTTGAGTTTACTGAAAGACTCAAACTCAAACTAATATGCAGTGAACAATACTACACTTTACTTTACAATGCTTAACCATTACATGGAGGGTCACCTACTCCAAGGCAGAATATCTACCTCGTAAGGAAACGGCGGCCATTATAATATTCTCTTTGCAAAATATTGGAATGTGATTTATTGCCTTTATTGAAGAGCTTTGAATATCCTACCGTGGTTCAATGATGAATAAGAAGAGTAATGATAAGGCAAAATCGGACTGGCAAAGTCACTCTAAGTACCCCGTGCTGTTTATACAGTACATGTGTTATAAGAGGGGTAATAAATATGGCAAACACCATCTTTATAGTATCTTTGATGAATCAAACTCCACCATATTTAACATGCTAGTATTATGAATATGTTTTTACTGCAGCAGGACCACAAATTGCTTTGCGCATTACTGTAGTACTTACTGTACAAATTATTTTAAAAAATTGTAATGTCCAAAAGTAAATTGAACATGACAGCAATATTAATGCTTTCCTATGTATAGTAATAAATTTTAAAATTTAAGATCTTGGGAATGCCAGATTTTTTCCTAACCATTGAAAAAAGAATTCTTATCTAAACAATGCATGGAAATGCTATTCTACAGCATTTCAGATCACTTATCACATTAGAAGGTGACTTTGCTAGCTGCAGTGTAGTGAATGTTTTGTTAATTCTGAAGAGAAGAGACAGCACACTGTACTCACACAAATCCTGCTCTCTTTTTATTTGCTCAGTGTCTTTTTTAGTTGTGGCTCTTGGAGGAACCTTAGTGGGAGTTGTTTTTGGAACACTGCTGTCCTTGCTGACCAGGTGGACAAAAAACGTTCAGATAATTGAACCTGGATTCATCTTTGTCATGGGATATCTGTCCTACCTCACTGCTGATATGGTGTCTGTTTCAGATATCCTGGCGTAAGTGTTAAAAATGGAAAGTTCTGGCTTTTTATGAGGGTTTTGCATATTGTGAAAACTGAGTGTTCTACTTGCCATTCTTGGCTGTTCAAAGGTACAGTATCTGTCCCTCTGACCTTGATTTTACAAAACATTAGCAACATTCTAAAAACAGCTATTTTATTCACACCAGATGAAAGTTCTCCCACCAAAATGTTGTCCTCTTTCTTTTTAACTTTCAGAGTGGATCAATATGTCCTCCACTTCCCCCTTTGTCACACACTTACTGACACAGGAGGGTAATCTTTCCTATAGCATCTTGCAAGCAGTTCATGATGGTCTGTCCACGCCAAAACAATAACAGGGAATCATTAACAACAGAAACTAATGCACATAATATGGAAAACATGAAGTTGCATTAAATTCCTTATCTGTTTGTGCCTTTTGTTATTTTGTGCTGTAGCAGACATTCATACTTCCTTATCTTCAGAGATTTTGCCTTTTATTTTTTAGGATCACTTTTTGTGGCATTTGCTGTCAAAAATATATCAATGCCAACATGGATGAGAGATCAGTTACCACGGTGAGATACACACTGAAGCTGATGGCCAACGGTTCTGAAACCATCATTTTTGTGTTCCTGGGAATCTCTGCAATAGATCCCAATATATGGGTTTGGGATACTGCCTTCATACTCCTAACCCTTGTCTTCATATTAGTCTACAGGTTTATAGGTAAGACAAATGAATATAAATACAAATATTTGGAAATTAAATGACTATATCTACCACAAGAAAGGAACATAAGTCTAGTTAGTGGCCTGTTAAGGATTTTTAATAAAAAAATATCCTGTACATGACCAATCTATGTCAAAATGTACCTGAGAACATCATGGGTATCAGCCAACTCTTTTAATGCCACTCTTGTAAAAAAAAATGTCTTTTCATTTACTCATTTACTGTACATTGGTGAGACAGTAAGTAGACTGGCTGATTGTTTCATGGAACATGTCAGAGCAGGAGGATCAGAGATCTCTCCAAGCAAAGTAGTCCTCTATTTCATCACTGCTGGCCATGATTGCACTGACCTATCTGTCTGCATCCTTTTACCAGGATTCCAGGATTCCTACTCAAGAAAAACTCAAGATACCACCCATTATCCTTAGACTTGGTTCACACCTTCCACCAGCTCTCAGTGATTTATTTGAAGAGCTCCCAATTCATTTATTGTATCACCCCCAGTTCTCTCTTTGTTTTTCTCTTTTGCTCTGTCCTTTGTTCCGCTCTTCATAAATTCCCTGCTGCCTTCTTCTTGCTCCCTAACGCCTAATGAGGCATTTGAAGTGATGTGTTTTTCCTTCTTTCTTCTTTTCAGCCTGGAATTAATATCTGATCAATAGGCATTCCCCACTGATGTTTTTTAACCAAAGTGCAGTTCTCCAGGCAGTTAAAGACTCTCTTTTATATTTTCCTTTTGCGCACCACAGGTGTCTTCGTTCTGACGTGGATCTTAAACCGCCACAGGCTGGTGCCCTTGGAATTCATAGACCAGGTGGTCATGAGTTACGGGGGCTTGCGAGGAGGTGTGACATATGCCTTGGCAGTCATGTTGGATGCGGAAAAAATTCGAGCAAAAAACCTTTTCGTCAGCACCGCTCTCATCGTCGTGTACTTCACTGTCATCCTACAGGTGAATGTGGCCTCGAAGAAAGTACTTTGCAGGTGTCTGTCCTAATGCTTTGAAAGCATCACGGAAAATAAGATCTTCTTGCTGCTTTTTTTCTTTTAATTTTGTCTCATGAATGTGAACAACCTGTTGTACTGCGCTTTAATACTCCCTCCATTTCTTGGAAAGACACGGCCTCTCAAAAAGCTTCGGGGTGCTGCCTGCAAATGCTTAACTAGGTGTGGGAGAGATACTAGAATAACACAATGCCAATCAAGTCCTCCTGTTACCTTAACTGACTGTGCATCCATGGCATTATTGGTCTTATCAAGTCCTCATTTATAATGATGATCACACGATACAAAAATACAAGAAACCAGAAAGTAAGAGTACAGCAAACAACATACTGTATGTGATAATGAAAGCATTTAATCACTATCAAGAACAATTATTTAAATGAGTTAAATTGAAAATATATTCAGGGAAAGTTCCTAAATTATTCATTTTTTCAAAAAACGTACTCTTACCATAGATTTACTGATAGAAGAGTGCATCGGTATTTGGAGACTGTTCTCTTTTTTAGAAGTGGTGTTGCAGCATTTGGCCAAAAAGTAAATGACCAGCTCCTTTCTTTTTAAAAGATTTAAACTGCAATGTTATTTTTACATTTCGGGATCATAAAGAATTAGCATTGATGAGTGCATATCAAACCTCCAGTTTACAGCACAAAATAAATGAAATTTCCAGGTATGCACAGTGCCATATTCTGCCATTCAGAACGAGGCAAAAAAGCAATTTTGGTAGCAATTGCAAATATTTGTAATGATGTCTATGCCAGTGAGGGTCTGGAGTCTAAATTAAAAGCAGGGTCTTAAACCTGTACCTTAACTAAATACTTTAATGCTTTAAATTCGTCTTATGTGTGCAGTCATTGAGGTTTGAAGTCTCCCAAAAGTCAGGACAGCCTTTGTTCTGAGAGCTCTGATCTCTGTTGCAGGGTTTAACAATCAAACCATTGGTGACCTGGCTGAAAGTGAAAAGGACTGAGCACAAAGATCCTCTGTTAATCGAAAAGCTGCAAAGCAGGGTAAGGCCTTTCACATCTGCTAGTTTAAGGACAACAAAAAACAGAAAATTTGAGCATTCTCTTTTTGTTTTGTCCTAGGCCTTTGATCACATCCTTATTGCAATTGAAGATATTTCAGGACAAATTGGGCATAACTTTATGAGGGACAAGTAAGTAGTAAATTTTAAGCTTTTTAGAAAAAAAGATGCAGCAAAACCCGATTATTCTTCACCAATGTTAAAGCATACAGCACAAGAAGGAAAAATACATTTAAAACAATTATACATGTATGAGGAAAATACAATAAACCTGAATAACTAAAAGGTGTAAATGATGGATGTATTAAAAGATGCAAATACAGCAAACTAATTTAAAAGAGAATTTCTACAGTATTTCTGCAATTCTATGTGTCTGTGTAGTGACAGATACAAGTATTGCCTGAACTCTGAAATAATCACTGCTTTTTGCTTTAACAAATCTCTATTTGACAACCATTAAGAAGATACAAGTGATGCAAAAAATGATTTAGGGAATAACATGGATTCAAAAGAAGGGTATTAATACATTTATCTGCAGCTGGCCAAATACTTAGGACAAGTAAAAGATTCTAAAAGGGCATTGGGAAAATGTGAGGCAGGATGGCCCCAAACATCCTACTGAAAGTTGCAGACAGCAGTTTAGAGAATATGGCCCAGAATGAGTAATGAGACTAGGGTTTTACTACTGAAGCTACAGAGGACCCCTAACATATTAAATAGTGAATTGTTCTTATTATTGATACTAAACACATAATAGGATGCAGTACGTATACATTTCAATGGTTATTCACAAAACAACTAAACAACTTGAGGTGTCTGATGTTGTAATGAAGTGGACGAATGAAAAAAGGTGTACCTTTCAGGTGGTTGCAGTTTGATGAGAAGTGGCTGAGCAGGGTACTGATGAAACCCTCTGCACGAAAGTCACAAGATTACATCTTCCATGTCTTCCACCAGCTTAATCTAAAAGATGCAGTCAGCTACGTGTCAGAGGTAAGACTGCAGTGAACAAAGCACATACAGTACTGTATTTTGTATTAGAAAGTGAAGTGGATATTATGGCAACCCAATCTAAGTATTGTACAGTAATAGTGAGTTGAAATAATGCCAAAGCCTGAAAGTTGCTAATGCCTTATATTGATTTATGACCATTATGTTTGTTAGGAAATAATTCAAGTTGTTTCACTTTGGTTGCACTAAGAACTGCTTTCTTCTTGCTGGCTATGATTTGGCCTACTGTATATTCAACAATGTGCAAAAATGTTGCACTGATGCACAGTGGCAGATTTGTAATCTTTTTGATCCAATGAAAAACTCAATTGTTTCTAACTCTTTATAAACTCATGTTAATTTAGTAAATTTGTGTTTGACTGTAGAAGAATAAATGTAAGATAGGTGACTCTTCCCTCAAGCATGCTTATTCCTGCTTGATTTGCAATTTTACACATTTCCAAGGACTTTCAAAAGAAGACCAAAATGATTTTGAAGTAATCTTGCTTTTTTTACAGAAAGATTAAATAGCTTTGCTTCTTAGCTTTTCAATGACCGGGTTAATTTTCATACAATACAAGTCAGTTTCTACGAGGGAGGTGGACAGCCACCCCAAATCCTTGTCTTCAGTGGAAAGAGACTCTCACTCTGCTATAGTGACTTGCATGTTGATTTTGAGACAGGAACTACTGCCATTCATTTGTGTACTAGAGCAGGAGCTCTCACTCCTGGGACGGGAGGCTCGTGCACTGCTGACTTCATTACTTAAATGAGGCCTTGAACCAAAAAACTTGCTTAATTGGAACATTTGCATTTTTTTCAAACTCCAAGGTTTAGAATTGTTATACTGGAAAAGCAATAGTTAAAAGCAACCTCTAACATGTTTAAGAGCTGGGAACAATCCTGTTATTACATCAGTTAAGGATTCAGTTATGTAGCTAAGGGCTTAGCTGGAACAAAAACCAACAGGTGTGTACAGTACACCTCCAGGACCAGGATTGGGAACCCCTGTACAAGATGTATTCTATAGCACAGAATGGGATTGCTAGGACACTGTTGTCACAACAGTGCTATTGTGAACCTCTTTACAGGAATAATCACTGCATTTACTGGATTAAGTTTACATCATAGAAGGCAAGTTCCATTGTCTTTCTAGTCTATTAGAAGTTGGTCATGTCCGCTATAGAAAGTGGAGGAATGAAGAGTGAATAGATGGATTCTTTGTGTTGCCCAGAACATGAATACAGAATGGGCTATTTTACTTTTTATTCCACTAAAAAAGCCTTTTCATGTTTAGTTTGTCACTGCCATCACAATTCGCCCTTTCTCAGAATATTTGCAAAATCCCAGAGCTCAGCTTAATTGAAAGACCAATTTTGCCTTCTGTACATCTGGAAATCAGAGAAATTCTGAAATGAATACTTTTGTATCTGACTGCACCTTGCTGGTTCACAGAACAAAATGGCCAGTCCCTGCATTCCAAGAGAGCAGCCTTCGGCCTCCTCCTTGTCTCAGTCCTGTGTTTTAAAGCAGGTTTTCCTCTCATGTTTAAGGGTGAGCGTCAAGGGTCACTGGCCTTCCTACGGTCTGAAAATGATGCAAACGTGGATTTTAACAGGAAGCGTCACTCAGCTATGTCAGTGATGGCGCCGGATTTGATCCACGATGATACCCCTGTGTCTGCAATCCTGTGAGTATAGGTTTCACAATGTTGATAGAAAGGTTTTAGTGTGCTTGTTTCTGAAAAGATGTGTTAGAACAACCATT